AGCGAAAGTCAAATAATTGTGCAGACAAATTCAAATAAGTGCTTCCATGATATTTCTCTCAACTAATTTCAGGCCCCTGAATGAGACATATTTCAATGTAATATATCTCCCTTATTCTGGCACTGTCCAGGTGCAATCTTGGGCATATAAAATCTATTAGGACTTGTTGCTCATTACCTGAGACAGAAGAGAAGCCACTTGACTGTTTGACCTTAAAAAGAAGCAACAAAGATAGGGCAGGGATTAGTAAAAGGAATAACTCATTTGCTGCAAGTTTAGTGTTCTGTTGATGCTGGGTAGTGTTCTGTTGATAACACAGAAAAGCAGAAAAGCCATTAATTCATTTAGCCACCTTTCCCTATATTTTCTCTGATCAGACTCAAGAAGATGAGAGATCAAGTTCTCAAAACATTCCTTCCTTTTAAAAAAAAAGGAGAGGGAAGATCCACAATGGATTAACCAATTCCTGATAACGAGAACTGAAATTAAGGTATCACTGTCATGTTTTATTTCTGGTCCTTGCAGATTCCAATATTAAGCACAGACTGGTCATTGATTTGGAGCAGAGGAAGTAATTCAACCTTAAGACTCACCCACCCCATCTTCGTGATTCCCGGTTCCTCACTTAACACATATATTCACTACATGTATTCCCTTAACACACGTATTCCTTAACACAAGTATTCCCTACTACTTGATCCAAAAAATCGCTAAATGGAAAGCCTCCTTTCTTTCGCCTTGTTCCTCTTCAGCACAAGCACCACTAACTACCCATGAGGTCCCTGAACAACCCTGAATTCCCATCATTCCTAGCTCCAGACAGCAACCACCCCTCTCCGTCCTCACCACTTCCTCATTCAATTGTGGACCGAAACATCTTACAACAATCATGATGACTCTGCCCATTGGCTAAGCGCACAATAATCCCTACTCTCCGCCACCTCTTATTGGTTCGAAAGAGCTGAAGCAACCTTTCTATGCTTATTACAATGAGAGAAAGGCCAGTGTCAGCGCTTTAAAGCACATTTTGTTCTTTGATGGCTTGGATTTATCCGTGCTTATAGAATTAAATTGAATAAATATGCTCCTCCTATTGAGCCCCCATCATCTCATCCAAAATGACTTGGTTTTTTTTAAATTTTTTATTTGATTTGTCAATCACTTACAAGATAATAGGTATAAATATAAACATAGTTAAGAATAGTTATGAATACATGAAATAGATACATATAAGAAAAATAAAAAGAAACAATAGGACAGGGATGGTAGGCATGTTGGTGCGCTTATGCAGACCTCTTAAGAAAGGGGTGAGGTAGTAGACAGTCTAAGGTTAAAGTTTTTGGGATTTGGGATTTGGGGAAGAAACCACAGAGTCAGGTAGAGTATTCCAGATATTGACCACTCTTTTGCTGAAGTTATATTTCCTGCAATCAAGTTTGGTGCGGTTAACCTTCAGTTTGTATCTATTGTGTGCTCTTGTATTGTTATGGTTGAAGCTGAAGTATTCATTGACAGGTAGGACATTGCAATGTATGATTTTATATACTATACTTAGATCAGACCGAAGGTGGCGTAGTTCTAGGTTTTCTAGGTCTAGAATTTCGAGTCTGGTGGCATAAGGTTTTCTGCAACAAGTAGAGGAGTGGAGAACTCTTCTTGTGAAATATTTCTGGACTTTCTCAACTGTGTTAATATCAGATACATAATGTGGATTCCAGACTGATGAGCTGTATTCAAGTATTGATCTAACAAATGTTTTGTATGCTCTAGTTAGTAGTGTGATATTACCAGAAAAAAAGCTACATAGGATTAGGTTAACAACTCTTAATGCCTTTTTGGCTATGTAGTTACAGTGGGCTCTAGCACTTAGATCATTAGAGATGAGTACTCCAAGGTCCTTGACAGAGTTTGGATCATCAACAAGGTCTTGACTATTCAGCTTGTATTTTATTCTCTGTTTTTGTTTTGCCAATATGTAAGACAGGGCATTTATTTCTTGAGATTTGAAGTTGTCATTTCTTTGACCATTCTGATACATAGTCAAGGTGTTTTTGAAGAGTAGCAGTATTTTCTGTGGTGTTGAATAGCTTTACATCATTGGCAAAGAGAACGCAGTTGCTCTTAATATGATCACAGAGGTCATTTATGTAGAGTATGAAGAGAGTTGGTCCTAGAATACTGCCTTGGGGGACACCACTGTTGACAGGTACAGAATTTGATAGGACGTTCCCAATTTTGACCATTTGTTGTCTGTTTGACAGGAATGCTTTTATCCAGTTATGTAGGTGTCCAGAGATACCATAAGATTTTAGTTTTAGTAGTAGTTTGTTGTGTACCATTGAATCAAAGGCTTTACAGAAGTTTATGTAGATTGCGTCTATTGCTTTGGCCTGATCAAGTTGTGTAGTCCATATGTTTTTGCAGTGTAAGAGTTGCAGATTACAGGATAGTTTTTTTCTGAAATCAAATTGTTTATTAGAGAGTAGGTTGTTTGTCTCTAAGTGGAAGATAATGGATTGGTTAATAATTGATTTCATGACTTTACAGGTGACACAGCATAAAGAGATTGGTCTGTAATTTTCAACTAGGCTGGGATCTCCCTTTTTGAAGATGGGGATGACCATGACTTGTGACCATAGCTTTGGCAAGGAGCTGGTCCTAAAAGATTTTTCAAAGATTATGCTTAGAGGTTCGGCTATGGCAGTGGGTAGCTTTTTTAAGAAGTAGGCACATATTCCATCCGGTCCAATAGATAGAGATGGTTTTAGATTGTGTAGTGCTTTTTCAACATTGTCTTCTGTAAAATCGATATGTATTAGATCATTGTAGTTGTCTGTGGTTCGACTAGGAAATACTGGGCATGATCCATTGCTGTTTACAAATACTGAGCCAAAGAATGTATTAAAGAGGTTGGCTTTAATTGTGTTGTCTTTGCAGTCTTTACCATTAGGTCCTTTCAGGGGTGGGATGGACCTTGAGTCTTTTAGTTTGTTGTTTACAAAATTATAGAAAGCACGGGTGAAATTGGTGCGTCGAAGGTTTTCCTCTTGTTTAATGTGATAATTGGTGCATTCAGTCTTTATCTGGTGGCATAAATTTTTGTATTGGCTTTTGAAGTTGGCAACGTGACCAGATTTGTTTTTCTGCCAAAGTGATCTCTTTTTGGATTGAAGCTTCCTTATTGTTATAGGTAATCTGTTTTTTCTGGTTTTTGGAGTTGTTATTGGTACATATAGTTTGATGACTCTTTTGACTTCAAGTAAAAATATGTTGTAATGGTCTTCAACAGTATTGCATCCAGTGAATAGAAATTGCCAATCAAGGGATGAGAGATCGTTGTCTATAAGATCATAGTTGCTTTTTTTGAAGTTATAATTGGGGATCACGTCTTTGTGTTGATTTTTGTGTGGGCGTATGTTGAGACAAAAGTCAATCATGTTGGAAAAGGGTTCTTTAATTTGTATTCCATAAATTGAATTTAAACTATTGCAAAAGATGAGATTGAGGCAGTTGTTAAGTCTAGTATTGTTGGTTACTAGTTGTTCTAGTCCCAGATTTGTTACAGCATTGTAGAAGGTTGCATGTATGGGTTCAGTTATACATTTGTTTAGGGTCCAGTTAATATGTGGTAGATTGAAGTCACCAAGAAAGATAAAAGTGTGTGTGCAGGATGATGCCCATGTTAGTAGTGAATTTAGCTTGTTTACATGTTTGATGTCATAATCAGGGGCTCTGTAACATAGTAAGAATCAAAATATGATATTTAAGGACAGTTCACAGACAATGGTCTCAGGAAGTGCAAGCTCCTAGGTAACTTGGATGTTTTTTAGATATAAGGACTTTTTACAGAAGATAGCAACACCATCTCCTCTACGGATTTCACGATCTGATCAGTAAACATGATAGTCTCTTACTGTGGTAATGGAGTCAGGGAAAGATGCATTGAGCCATGTTTCACAGACAAATATAATGTTGAATTTAGCCATATTTAGTAAGAGGAGAAATTCAGGTATTTTATTCACAAGGCTTCTTGCATTGAGTAGCTTGCATTTAAGGCCAGTTGTAGTTGGAATTGAGGTAGTTAAGGGCATGCATGCCTGGTTTTGAGTGATGGTGGGTTGGATGAGGTAGGGTTGAATGCGGAGTTGTGGGTTGTGTGACTTACTTTTGATACAATCAGCACGATATGTACAGGTCAATGTACAGGTCATTCTCTCCATTGTCTAGATGTCTTTTGAGTTCAGTGTGGAGTTCATGGGAGCGGATTCTTTGCAGTATGCATAAGTCTGGTCTTGAGCAAAGTTTTTGTGGTTGGGATTGGTTTTTGCAATGGCGTTTATTGTATGAATGAATATACGTTTGCTGAACTCATTTTTGCATACAACTCTACAAAATTTTGGGACCACCGAGCCGTCATTGTATTTGAACTCAGGGCTATCTCTGGTTATTTCAATGATATCATCAGGAGAGATGTTTGTTGTATTGGACTTGCTTATGATATTGCGAATTTTGGTGATGTCATCTGATTCGTTGGTGTCTTCAAGTCCAAATAAGATGGCATTTGGACATTTCTGATCACATTCCATGATGTCTCTGATGAGCAAGGGGATATCATTTGTGGAATTATTTGATGGGATAGTAATTATTTGTGGTTCTGGTTTGGTGGTTATTTTTGGTTGTAGTTGTGATTCTAGTTGAGGTAGTAATTGTGGTAGTGGTTGTTGAGTTGGAATTTGATTTTGAGCTGATAAGTAGTCACTTATCAGTGCTGTATTTTTTTTCAAGAGAGATTAGACTTTTTTGTATAATTGTTTGAAAACATGTTGCTAAACTTTTTTCTATTGACTGCATGAGTGATTCTATGCTATCAACTCTGTCAGGCAGGGTACTTGGTTTGTTTAGCTTAGGAAAACATGATGGACATAGACAAGGGAATGTATCTGATGCTTCTAGTGTTCAAATTTTTTCCCTAACAATGACAATAAAATAATAGCCTTTTTTGATAATTAGCAATACTCACTTAGACTTATATATCGTTTCATAGTGCTTTACAGCCCTCTCCAAACTGTTTACAGCGTCAACATATTGCTTCCAACAATCTGGCTCCTCATTTTACCGACCTCAGAAGGATGGAAGGCTGAGTCAACATTTAACCTGGTGAAATTCGAACTGCCAAATTGCAAGCAGCCGGCAGATAGCAGAAGTCTCACAGCTAAGGTGCAACAGGAGATTGGTGAGTGGTGGGTACAAATCAAACTCCAAGCACGGAAGACCAGTTGAAGATGCCTTTCACAGATGGTCCACAAGGCTCAATGTTACCAAATTGGAAGCCCTGAGAGCTTTCCACAGGCAACAACCTTTGATGTAAAATTCCATGGTTACATTTCCAAGCTGTGCCAATAATACTAATCCTCTAATCAAGATAGTGTGCAGAAGAAAAAAAAGATGACTGTTAGTAGTCAGACATACTCAAGGCAGTAAATATGTATTAATATGTCTTATTTATGGAGTAGTCAGACATACTCAAGGTTTAGTAAATATGTATTAATATGCCTTATTTGTGGAAATATAAGTTACCTAGAATCACTTTGGATAGTGGGAGGTATATAAATTTAATAAATAAATTAGTTAAACCAAATCTCTCTTCACTTCATTTCAGAATGTTGGAATATTGCTCCCTGTCAGTCTATTTTATTTGAGGCAAGTGAGGCTCTTTCTTCTTTGCATGAAGCAACACCAACTAATGTCATCTGTTTCAGTATCTCCCTCTTCTAGTACATGGCTGTTGTGCCAGTCCTCTTCTCGGTACATTGTGATCCTCTCCATTAGGAGACTCCAGAGAAGTTCAACCCAGATCATTTTTTGGATGAAAAGGGCCAATTCAGGAAAAGAGATGCTTTCATGCCATTCTCAGCAGGTACAGTCCTCTAAGACAAATAGTATGAAAAATTCATATGTGGCCTGATCCATGTTATTCCTTTATCAAGCACAATTCCAGCAGCTGTACTTCCTAAATAAGCTTTATTTTCTTGTTTGCTATTGCAGGGAAGATGGCTTGTCCAGGAGAGGCCCTGGCTAGGATGGAGCTCTTCCTGTTCTTCAGCACCTTGCTCCAGAGGTTTACCTTCTATCTGTCAGATCAAAAGTAGCTTGCAGTGCTGCATTCTAACCACTGCACCACCATGACTCATTATTCCAGTGGTCCCCAACCTTTTTTGTACCAGGGACCAGTTTCAAGCAGAAACACTTTTTCAAGGACCGGCGGCGGTGGGGGGGGGATTGTATTTTCCATTTCCAAAACTTTATGTTTACCCTACAACTAGCATTAAAGACACCTGACTGCAGTCTCTCTAGTTCTAGGTCTTGCCCAGCTGTGTAGCTACAAAATTTCATGCAGATGTTTCTCTTATCTCTGTTTGGTGAAAACAGGAATTGAATGAGGAGCATTTAGTCAGTGTGTTTTCTCTAGGAAGCTCCTGTAGTCCTTGTTTAGGGATCATTCAGAGCTACGATGGACCTCTAACATCCAGCCCAGGAAGAAACTGCTTCAAAGAAGCCGGCAGGGTGGCTTTT